TTCTTATTTCCTCTCCTTTCAGTCTTTCCTTTCCTTCCTTTCTTCCATCATCTCCTCCTTTTCTTTCCTTCCTTCCTTCATGCTTCCATTTTCTTATTTCCTCTCCTTTCAGTCTTTCCTTTCCTTCCTTTCTTCCATCATCTCCTCCATTTCTTTCCTTCCTTCCTCCTTAAAAATTCTGCTGATCTAAAAACAGTATTTTGTGATTAACTTTAGGTCCATATCTGCCTCTAGGAGAACCAGCAGAATCGGATCCCTCTCATGGACGGAGCTCGGTACGGTTCTGGTTCTGTTCAGTGAGCAGAGGCGGGTCAGGGAGGAGCTGATCTAAGCGAACAGTTCTATAGAACCTGCGATGTTCTAGCAGCCGCTGCGTCTTTAGAGCTCCGTCCTTTGTCGGGGGGGTTCAGATGTTCATTAAGGAGATTGACAGGTGTCCACTTGTCTCCTTGTCCTCTTGTCCTCGGCCCTTTGAGCGGCCCGGGAAGAAGAGCCGAGTGTTCTGGGCTCATAATTGGACTCTGACTGGGTGGTCCACTTCAGGAGATCATCCAGCAGGAAGACAATGTCCCAGCAGAGTGACCGACCCAGGAGGCCCATCCTCCAGGGGGACGGGACCAGAACCGAGCAGAACCGCCCGCTCTGGTCCAAGCGTAGAACTAGATCTCGGTAGAGAGGTTGGCGGTACCAGAAGTCCTGGTGAGCCTGGACACATTCTGACAGTCGTCTGAGACGGCGCCGGTCCTTCTGAGTTGGCCGGTTCTGACGGGTTTCTTTGTTCTGCAGGGTTCTGGTTCTGGGCGGGTTAGAGGTTCTATTAGCTTAGTTTCTTAGTTTCCCTCTGACCCGTTTTAGGCGCCCTTCACCCCCTGAGCTGAGCCACTTGAGCGGCCCGCCCCGTAAACAAACGCTTCTGCTGCTCGCAGCTGGTCATCGCCGTGGCAACAGTTTCTTTGTGAAGTGCTGCAGGGACGGATTGGAGCCACTTGAGCGTCCGACAATGCGGCGCGCTGAATGCTTCCTTCATTTTCAGAACAAAAACAGCTAATTTGGCGCTGCCCCCCTCCCGGGGCCCGGCCCGGGGCCCGTTGGGAGAGTCCGACAGCTGATGGTTCAGTTTGCACAAAGATGCAGTTTTCATGTCAGGCTGCAGGATTTCCACTTTAAATTTAGTTTTTGATAAGAAGAAAAACCCAAACGTCCCCAGAACCGGTTCTGACCCTGTTCTTTGTTCCCTGCAGATTCCAGGCAGAACGCCGCGCCGCCGTCCTCCTACGGCGCCGTGCCGCCCCCGTTTCCCAGGTGAGTCCGCTGCCTCCAGCATGGGAACCAAAGCTCCCAGTTCATCCTGCAGGACCCGGTTCTGATCCGATGCTCTGCATCCGTCATCGATGCAGCTGAATTATCGATGATGTCATCACAACTTTTTTCTGCTTTTAACAGGAAGTTTAAAAAAAGGTGTTTTTACTTTAAACTCTAAACCTCTGGGACTCTGACCCGGTCCGGCCCGGTCCGGGTCTGCCTCTGGCTGCAGAACCAGTTTCAGTGAAGGAGGTTTGCTTAGCTTAATGAGGCGTCACTAACGCCGCTGCCTCAGATGGAGGTCGTCGGCCCCTCGGGGCCTTAATCAGAATCCCTCGGGGCCCATTGTGCTGCGGTGGCCTCGGGTCGGGCCTTATTAGCCGTAGCTGAAACAGTTTCTTTATTGGCGCCGAACTCAGCCTCTGAGTGGGGATTATGGCGTCCGATCCGATCGGGCCGCTGCCGGCCGGGTGTGACATGGTTCCGTAATGAGGGATGGGATTCTGCTCCGATGACGTTCCCGTCTGATCCGGAAGCAGTTCAGGCAGTAGGATGACTTTCTGAAGCCCGAAGGCCCGGCGGGTCCAGAACCGCCGAGACAGAATGATCCGAGCTCAGAAACTTTCCCCAGATTTCCTGAACTTCAGGAAAGGTTCTGTGCAGCAGGATCCGGATGATCCGGATCAGGGATGGAGTTCTGAGATCGGAAGTTTTAAGTTTCCTCGAGACTCTGAGAAAAATGACTCAGAATTTCCTTCTAATTTATTCCGGGCCAACGACCCGACCCGGTTTGGGAACCCATACAGACCGAAACGGTACCGGATCCGGGAGCCCCGTTCCGTTAAGGTTGAAGAAGCTCCCTCTGAAGGTCGATGGAGGATCTATGATGCTGTGGGCCTGATCCTGCAGAACCTCTGGCTGAAAGCAGGTCACTGTAAAAGGTTCTGATGACCCAGAACCTGGGAGTTTGGGTCATCTGGAGAGAAAAGGACCGAGGTGACTGGGACCGGTCCGGTTTGTTTGGTTTTTATTTTAATAAATGAATTTCTTCCCTCGTTTCCGTCTGTTCCTGCATTAAAGGAACCTGGATCGGGTCAGAACCACTGATTCTGGGAAGGCTGAGGGTTTGGACCAGATGTTCTGGGTCTCAGAACCTCCGGCTGTTAACGGGTCAAACCTCTGTGTCCCCAGGCAGCAGCAGTACCGAGGCGGGGGCCACTCTGGGGGCCACGGCTGGGACCGGGCCCTCCAGGCTCAGCCGTCTGCGTACCAGCAGAACCTGAGCCGTGGCGGAGCGGCGCCGGGCGGCTACCAGCAGCGCTACGATCAGCGCCGGGACGACTGGAGCGATCGCCGTGGCAACCGGGGCCAGCGGCAGCAGCATCAGGTAAACCGCGAGCTGCTGGTTCTGAACAATGACCCGGTTCTCTTCACCCTGTCTAACATGATCCAGTTTGACCAGAACCACGAAACTCCAGTTCATCTGAACTTTCATTTAAATATATAGAAACATTCAAATGTAAGAAAATCTAAAATAAATCAGAACCGGTTTGGTTGGTCCAAATCAAACTGGACAATCAGAACCGGTTTGGTTGGTCCAAATTGGGCTGGACAATCAGAACCGGTTTGGTTGGTCCAAATCAGGCTGGACAATCAGAACTGGTTTGGTTGATCCAAATAGGACTGGACAATCAGAACTGGTTTGGTAGATCCAAATAGGACTGGACAATCGGAACCGGTTTGGTAGATCCAAATAGGACTGGACAATCGGAACCGGTTTGGTAGATCCAAATTGGACTGGACAATCGAACCGGTTTGGTTGGTCCAAATTGGACTGGACAATCAGAACCGGTTTGGTTGGTCCAAATCAGACTAAATGGGACGGACAGTCGGAACCGGTTTGGTTTGGGCCGGATGATCAGAACCATCACAGCAAATCAAGTTACCAATGAATGAGTTCAGGTTTCGTATTTATTGCTTCTTCCAAACAGAAAATTCCATCATTTTCTGGATTTATCAGATTTTAAATATTAATTTTTTTTCTACCAGAAAATAAAAAAAATAATTTAGATTTGAAATAAAAATAATTTAAAAAACGTAAAGTTGAAACTTATTTTTTTTTTAATCATTTTGAACAATTAAATTGTTTTAATAAAAACAGAAACTTGATCCTTTTCACATCAGAAACATTTGATGTTATTTTAAGGAAAAATAAAAATGGTGTGAAATTATCTGAACGTTTTAAATCTTTTATTTTATTTTATTTTTCCAGAACTTCCCATCCAGCAGAGGCTACCCCCCTCCTCCTCCCTCCCAGCGGTACCACTGGAATTAGAACCATGGGTCGGTTCAGGGAATCTTCGGGACGGGAACATTTTTTAATCCTTTTTTCGTTCACTGTAAAATATTTTCCCTTTTTAAAACCAACTTGTGTAACTTGTGCCGTTTTTTTGAAGTTTTATTTCATGAATTCTGTTAAATTTGTTTCCTGGCTGATGGAGTAAAAAAAAAAAAAAAATCCAGATGTTTGATTCTGAGAGAAATTCTCCTATTAAAAAATAAAAATTGAAATGAAACAAATGATGCCTGAATAGAATTTGTCTCGATTTTTTATTTTTAGATTAAATTTTTCGAAACAAATTAAGTTATTTTTATTTGAAGGTTAACACAAAAAAAATCTTCAGGGAATATTTATGAAGGAAAGAAAGTCACGTTTAAAATGAGAATCCACTCAGTTCTGGATCCAGAACCTTCTGGACCAGCTTGTTCCGGTTCTGTTCCTAAATTCTCGGCACTGACCTGGGATCAGTTCTGGATGCTGCTCCTTCCGAAAAACAGCCTGCTTCCCTCAAACACTGCATCCCTTTAAATCCAGAAGAAAGTTCGGTTTTGATTGGGTTTATTTTTCCTCCGAACCGCAGAAAGTCTGATGCGTAAAGAAACCAAAGTTTTACGCATGAAAAGCGCAAACCGGGCCGTTCCCCCTCCTGTAATCCTCAGTCTGGACTTTTCCCCGGGTTTTTTCTGGTTCTAAGTTCTACCAACTTCGGCCGTACAGTAAATTGGACCCGAGCATGCTGTTGGTGTACTCGATGAGCGCCGCGTCCGTCTGCGCCATGTTGATGTGCGCCTGCAGGCCGAGCGGCGGGCTGGGAGACGCGTCCTCCAGCTCCTCTGTGGACGACAACTGGTTCTGGACCTGCTCGCTCTGCGACACCGCGTCGGCCGAACCGCCCTGTCGGGTCACCGCCTGGTTCGGTTCGCTCCTGCAGCTCTTGTTGGTTTTGGAGAAAATCGGGGAACCGGAGGAGGAGCGGCGGGAGGCCGCGCACAGCCCGCCGGCCTCCTGCTGCTGCTGCTGGGTGGCCTTGTCCTTGGCCTGCCGCTTCAGCTTGTAGCGGTGGTTCTGGAACCAGATCTTGACCTGGTTCGGGGTGAGGTGGATGAGGCCGGCCAGGTGCTCCCTCTCCGGGGCGGACAGGTACTTCTGCTGCTTGAAGCGCCGCTCCAGCTCGAACACCTGCGCCTGAGAGAAGAGGACGCGCCGCTTCCTGCGCGGCGCGGCGTGGAGCGTCACCACGGACTTAGAGCCGGGCTCCATCCCGGGCAGACCCCCCACCATCCCGGGGATGTTGGCGGCGCCGGGAGCGCCCATCAGCCTGGAGACTTTAGTTAGAAACAGGGAAAAAAAAGAAAAAGTTCCACATTTAAACCATAAATGTTTTTATTTGATCGAATTAAAATTTGTTTAAACGAAAAGCATTTTAATTAAAATAAAAAAATTATAATTAACCATTAAAAAAATCGAATTAAAAAAGTTATAGTTAAGATGAAAAAACAAAAATTAAAAAAACTAAAAGTTTAAATCGGTTAAAAAAATAAAACATTTTAATGGAGATTAGTTTGGGTGAAACTATGCAAACTGCAGCCGGACTCACTGCTCTGGTAGCGGGGCTCCGGGCTGCTGTACCAGGCCGCCGCCCCGCCGCTCCGCACCGTCTCCTGGTAGGACGGCAGCTCCCCGCCGCTGCAGAAGCCTCCCACGGCCCCGGAGAACTGCGGCCCTGCGTGGGGGACGTGGTAGGCCGCTCCGTGTCCCAGAGCTGCTGAGGATGAGGAGGAAGAGGACAGATGGTGGTGATGATGATGATGGTGCAGGTGAGGCTGGTGCTGCTGGGGCCCCTGCGGCTGCCGGTAGGCTCCCAGCGGGGCCCCCAGGCTGCCTGCTGCGGGCTCCATCCCTCCGAACCGGCGGTAAGTTTCCTCCATTGGACTCAGGATGTCTGTGACTGAGAAGGGGGTGGAGATCTTTGGGCTAAAGGACATGGCTCGTCCTCCCGGTGCCCTGCAGGTCGGTCCGGCCCAGTTCTCTGTTGGATAGAACCCGTTTGGTTTTGCGCGTCCTCCTCCCTCCTCTGGTGCTGGGAAGAAGTCCATCTGGGGACCGGAGGGCCTTGGATCCACCGGGAGGAGGGGGGGCGGGGCGAAGCGGAGTGACGGAGAACAAGAGGAAAGGTTCGGGTTTTAATCTTCAGAACTTTCTCATCATTCTTCCTGCAGCTTGGATGAGAAAAGCTGCAGATTTGCAGCAGGAGGCAGAAAATAAAGCTGATCCGGTTCGGTTCCTAAGAACGAATCATTTTCAGGAGTCCAGCAGCTCATCCGAACCAGCAGTTCTGCTGCAGAACAGCTGAACTGTTTCTCCTCGGAGGTGCGGATCTTTGTTCCGGATCTTTTAGAACCGGAAAAGATTTTTTTTACTTGTATTAAATTTATTCAGAACAAATTAAACTCTTTATCTTTATAAATGCATCGAACCGCTGTTTGGTTTTTCTAATATCGAAATTAAATAATTTTTTAATTTTTTTACAGCAGATAATAAAAATAAATGCTTCGCGTTTTAATTGAACATATTGTTGTCAGTCATCCAGGTCGTAGTCATTCCGTAAAAGTAAAAAAAAAAAGTTAACTTTTACGAATTTAACATATTCAACTAAAATAATCGAACAACATTTTGTTGAAAATTAAAGTTTAAAGTAACAAAACGATTTTAAAGAATAAACTTTTTTTCGTTTTTTTTTTTTCGGCCTTCATCCGGTTTCATTCTTCAGAAATGGGTTTTATTTCTTCGTTTTTTTTTTTGTTTTTTTTTTAAATAATTCAAATCTTAATCTTAGTTTTTATAATCGGCGTGCGCGCGCTCCAATCAATCAAACTTAATTTAAAAAAACGATTAAATAATTATCTGCACCAGAATGAGAGCAGAAAAAATAAAAGGAAATTAATATTTCACAAAAATAAAAATGACTGAAAACGCGGCTGGTTGCGGGTTTTTTCAGCCAGTCACGTGCCGACCCGTCCGACGCCGTTTGAGGCGCCGCGGGTCGCGTGGCCTGCGGACCGCTGCGCTCCAAATGATCTGCTTTTTATTTATATGAACTAAACGGTTGGAACCAAACCGCGACAGTTTCTGCGAAATTATTATTTTATTTATTTATTTTTAGTTTAATTCATTTTCTTAGTGGAAATTAGTTTAAAAGCCGAAATACACTGAAATTAATTATTTATATTTAAATCTGGTTCAGTTTTATTAATAAAACATTTTGTTGCGTCTTTGTTTATTTGCAGAGGAAGAAAAAGGAATAAAATCAGAGGCCAACATGTTTAAGAGTCTGAAGTATTTCATCCTGGGCTGCACTTTAGGAGGGGCGCATGGGGGGAGGGGCCCGGATTACTTTTATTATATATTTTTCATCACTGCAAGTTTTAGAATGAAATCAGTTTAGTTTCTTTTCATTTTGTGTTTTAAGAAGCTTCTTGTTTGGTTGCAGCAGCGGAGGGGCCCCAGAGAGGAAGACATTTAGCTGAATGTTTCTGCTCAGAGCCGGAGGGCCGATTAACTGTCCAGGAACATGAGTGAGTCAGGGGCCCAGAACCTCCGAAAATTAGGAGCCCAGAACATCAGGGGCCCAGTACCTCTGAAAATTAGGGGCCCAAAATCTCTCAAAATTAGGGGCCCAGCACCTCCAAACGTCAGGGGCCCAGAACCTCCGAACATCAGGGGCCCAGAATCTCTCAAAATTAGGGGCCCAGAACCTCTCAAAATTAGGGGCCCAGAACCTCCGAACATCAGGGGCCCAGAACCTCTGAAAAT